GCTAATTACTTACAAGATTAATTCCCGGCCCCCGGGTTCGCCGCGGATATTACGAGATTAAGTTGCTCTTTTACGTCACGTTACAGGTGGAAAGCCATTTTTCTTTTCCAGCCTCCAGCAGACGGGGGAAAGAAGCGGCAACGAAACTCCCGCCCCACGAATTTATCGTGTTCCAACATCTTGCAAACGACAATACGACTTTAGCCGGCATGGACGAAAGTTAAAATTGCCCTCTACGTATTTCATCCCTTTGCCGTTCCCAGTACTTCTTCTCCCCCCGGAATCGTAAAATCTCGCTCGAATTGCACCCTGTTACGTCCGTAATCTAGGCCGCTTGTACATTGATCTTTGATGGATTAATCAACTGATCTTAAATCTTCGATGCACTGTGTTAAACTACTTGAAAATATGCTGAACGGGTCGAGCGCAGTTTAAACCATGTATAAGAAACAAATAAGATTTTCTGGGAATTGGAAATTATCAGCTTTCGCCGTTTTCGAGGTGCGTTTGTTCACACAATTTCTTCATTACATTCTTCACGAAATTTAAAAACTGAACGCAGAGATTTGTTTGCCCGTGCAATATACCTATCTCGTGCACTTTCTGCGCCTTCAAATTTCCGCAACGAACATTTCTATCGATCTACTTGCACGCGACTGTTACGATGATGATAATCGAAATAATTTTTAGACGAAATCCAAAAAAAAAAAGTGGAAAAAAGTTTCAAAGATGAACAGGATACTTTCATTTCGTCGATATTTTAGATGAGCGCAAGAAGGACAAGCAAAAGGAAGGAAACGCTATTTTTTCTGAGGAAAAATTTTCTAAAGGTTCCAAAGGGGGGCGGGATGGAGGGGCAGCACTATCCGTTTAATACGATTCTATCACGGATCCACCCTTTTACTCTCGTCATTTCCTCGTCCCGCTGTAACAATTCAGTTTCACTTTCCAGTCGAACTGAAAGTTGTTGAAGCTTTATTAGGTCTGAATTTGCTCGATTGGTCTATCGGAAGTTAAATACTGTGAGATACCGAGGGCGAAGTGGTCGCGGGATTTTACGACGCGGCGAGCGATAGCTTGGAAAAATGCTGACTCGGTCGGGATCTTTGAAAGCGCGATGCATATCGTGCGCTTTTGGAGCTGACTATAGCTCTATCTCGGGGTATGATTTGAGAAAAACGAGGAAATGAAAGCGAGAAAGATGTACACGGTGCGTCGATAGCTGACGATTATATAACCTTTTCGTACTCTCTTCTCTTTTCGTTTGAGAAAATAATTTCCAATATAATAAATATGTTGAGCATGTTAACACGTTCCGTGCCAAGTCATTTTTGCCTTTTGTTGTCGTTCAGGCCATTTGATATTTTGACTAATTCATCACACAATCTTTCATTACATCATCAATCGATAAATAGGTCTCTTGTTT